ATGTGGCCCTACAGTGCCAGGAAGCACCCAGGCCTGAAAGCAGTGGCTGTACGAGCTCCTTGGTGCTAAGCCAGACTGTGCCTACAGGGCCTGGTGAATGAGGTCTCATGCCGTGTGCCCAGGACGAGCGCAGGGTAAGCGTGTTTCGTGCAAAGATGATGAAAGTAAAGAGTACCTTGATGAGGGAACAGCTGCATGAAAACTGCTGATTTAGAGCAAGGCAGAGAAGCTTCACAGACACAGAATGGAAGGAAAAAATAAAAGTAAGTGATGTCCATACGATTTTCAAAAAGGGTGAAATACGATTAGATACTAGATAATTAGTCTGTTCCCTGGTTTTCAGAAGGAATCTGGTTTTAATTATGGAACTCTGACCATTAGTTTCCTAAATATTACACTCTGTAAATAGATGGTAGAAGTTACAATTTTACAAATAGATGTGTTTTTACCACCTTTATCACAATTAAGAATTTTCGTTTAAATTAAGAATTAAACTTAAAAATGAGGAAAAAATTAGCAGAAATCACACCAAGCAATTGCTCAGTTTAAAATGATTTTTCGCCCTTAAGTACAGGGCAATAACAAAGAAAAAGAAAATAAAGCAAGAAAATACCAAATAAAGGTCTACTACACCATAAACAGTTCCCTCAAACATTAAAATCATTTCAGAGATATTAAGTAGTCTCAAAATTAGTTTCTTCTAGGAGGGAGACATTTTAAGTCTGGTAAACATATTAGGAGTGTTACTGACTCAACAGCTAAGTCTATAGGCACACCTTGGAGATATTTCTGGTTCAATTCCAGACCACCGCAAGGAAACAAATTGTAACTTTTTTTGCTGGTCTTGCCTTCAATTTGTAGAAGAAATGCAACATCTGTGAAGCGCAATAAAGTGAAGCGTAATAATCGAGGTATGCTGTACATTTACAGAAATGGTTTTGGTGAACTATCACAGTGCACACATTATTGGTTTTGGGATGCTTAAAATTCCTAGCTGATCCACTTAGCTTCCCGGGAGGGAGGTTTGCATTATAGAAGCAAAGTGAGTAGATAACTAACAGGCCTGGGACACAGCCCCAAAATAAAGTGGAAGAAGTGAATTTAAAATAAAGTCCATCTCCATAGGTGTTTGCGCTAAAAACGCATGCTCGAATACTATCAGTAAAATACGCTGGTCCAAAATAAAAACATTAAAGATTTTTTTCTAGGAAAAAAACATTTCAAATAGATTACAGGCTTGTTTTTGTTAAAAAATTATAATACACACCTCACATTTTCTTTGAGGT